TCATTATAGCAGTGGTTCTCAACCTTGGCTGCACATTAGAATCACCTGGGAATCTTTTTAAAATCCTGATTTCTAGGTCTCGTCCTCCGGAAATTCTGTTTCTTTGTTATGGGGTGGGGCCACAACATTAGTAACAAAGAAACAGAATTTCCGGAGGATGAGGCCCAGAAATCAGGTTTTTAAAAAGATTCCCAGGTGATTCTAATGTGCAGCCCAGGTTGAGAACCACTGCTTTATAGATAGCTGGATGTTCCATAGCCTGGCTGGCTGCCTCTTCCAGGCATGTCCTGGAGTTCATTGTGTAAACCAAGCTCCTGGTTTCGTCATGGAGCCGGGGCCAATCCGGTTCCTGCTGTGACTTCTGTCATCGCGGGAATGTCTCTAAAAGCAAGTCGAGACGCTGCTGTGAAAGGTCTTCTGTGTCAAAACAGCCAGAGAGGGAGCAGCTGGCCGCTTAGGCACGTTCCCCAGGACAGATGGGCCTCGTTGGACCAGTGCTCAGAGCCAGCCCTGGGCGGGGACCCCTCCACCAGGCGGGGACCGATCTATCAGGCGGGGACCCGTCCATCGGGCGGGATCCCCTCCATCAGACAGGGATCCTCTCCATCAAGCGAGGACCCTCTCTATCGGGCGGTATCCCCTCCATCGGGCAGGATCCTCTCCATCGGGCGGGATCTTCTCCCATCAGGCGGGGACCCCTCCCTCGGGCACAGTGCGAGGTGCGATCACTGCCAGAGACAGCAGTGAGGGGCAGACCACCACCCCTGATGCCTCGGTCAGTGTTAGGGTGCGACCCAGCACCTCCTGTCAGATGATCACATTCCCTCCCTCTTTGGGCAAATCTCTATTGGTAACCATTTCATTAATGGAAAAATTTGAGCAAATAATAGCAACGAAGAGTTGATGCTCTGGTCTTATTAACCAGTGTCACTGAGCTGTCGTAACCCACGACAACTGAGAAGATACCTCTTCCTCACACGGTGCTAGGGACGCGCTCGGGACAATGTGGGCCCTTCAGACCATCGAGATGTCATCCTTACAGACGTGCAGGGCGTGACCGGCTCCATCCAGTTCACCTGGATAAGACAGCAGATTCTGTTTGGTTCTTCCTCTTTCACCCAATAAGCTAATCCTACCTGTTTTGCTTTGATGTTGCTAGTGGATTATTGCTACTGCTATTCTTTTTAAAAAATATATATTTTTATTGATTTTAGAGAGAGATAGAAACAACAATGATGAGAGAGAATCATTGATCGGCTGCCTCCTGCACACCCCCCACTGGGGATCGAGCCTACAACCGGGCATATGCCCTTGACCGGAAACAAACCTGGGTCCCTTCAGTCCACAGGCTCGCTCTATCCACTGAGCAACACTAACCAGGGCTCTACTGCTGTCCTTAGCTCCGAAATATCACAGCTCTGTTCTGGAAATTCTTATGCACTTAGGTGTCACCCAGTTCCGTGGGTACTCGTCCCAGTTGTAGTCAAGTTCCCTCTAAAGTTTTACTTACAAGCTGGGGTCCTCAAACTACGGCCCGCGGGCCACATGCAAATACAAATATTGTATTTGTTCCCGTTTTGTTTTTTTACTTCAAAATAAGATATGTGCAGTGTGCATAGGAATTTGTTCATAGTTTTTTTTTAAACTATAGTCCGGCCCTCCAACGGTCTGAGGGACAGTGAACTGGCCCCCTGTTTAAAAAGTTTGAGGACCCCTGCTTACAAGCGTATACATATTTCATCCTGTCCTTGCCATTATTGCATGCCTTCTTTATATGGTTTTGAAAAACTGTGCACTCGCGATCCAACCTTTGTAGTCTCTGCCTCTGCCTGATTGAGACTTACAGGAGTCCGCGTATATGATGCTAGGGAAGGGAACCTCCGAAAGCCTGTTGCTGTAGTTATTGAGGGAAACACATGAACCCTGTTGAGCTCCATTCTCTGCTCTCTGCACGGCTGGGCTCCATGTGGAGCCGATGTACAGTGGCTTCTTCTCTCATTCGTGCATGGACTCACTTCATAAGTGCTAATGGCCTTGTAAATGAATCGTGTACGTTTTTTTCTTTAAAAGCATGTGTTCTGTGCGTGTTGAATGGGGAGGGGAGCCGTCAGCCTCCTGAGAAGTGCGATGTGGTGGCTGCCGGGCGGGCAGCTTGAGGGCTTCCATGTGGGCACAGGCCTCAGCCGGGCCACCTCCAGGCGGCTGGCTTCCCAAATGCCAACGTGAACATGGCCGTTGACGCGAAGGTAGTTTTCCTAACTGTGTACAGGAGCACGAATGACTGAAGGCAGTTGTTTAAAAACACGACTGACATTAAACTCTTGGCCAAGTTTGAGCCAATGGTGTAGCTTTAAATGATGTGTTTGTTATATCAGCTTCAGACTAAAGTGAGCTGCTTTCCTGAACATAAGAGTGGAACTACATTCGTACTGATCGCTGAGGTACCTCAGCAGATTGTCTGAGGTCGAAGCCTGCAGACGGGCGGGCCCAGCTGAGTGACAGGAGGCATCGGAGGGGCGGGCCCAGCTGGGTGGCAGGAGGCGGCAGCGGCCCAGTTTGGGTTGGCTTATTCGGTGACTGGACATGTACACATCTGTCACACCTAGTGCTTTACAGAACCTCTAAAATGCGCACTTTCTGTCCGTCTGCAGCACCACAGGGCGGTCAGGTGCATCAGCCCCTGAAGGAAACCAAGTCGGACTCTCACTCGGCAGACTCTGACCACCAGGCAACCCTGCAGGGCACGTGGGGATGCAGACTGTATGCGTAGCGAGAGCTGCCCCTGAAAGGGCGCCCGCCGCCCTCCCTGCTCGTGGTAAAATGCTGAGTTCTGTTTCATAAAATGGAGTTAAAATCGCTTTTCCAAGCCGGTCGGGGCAGACAGGAAGTCGGGTCCCTGGGGATGGTCCGCGAGCTGTAAATGACAGGGACTTTCTCATGGCCGGTCAGTCCTGGATCCCAAGAGTCCCGAGCCCCCGCGTCACTGACCACAACACCACACGGCTCTGGACAGACGTGGCCGCCTGTCCCCGGAGGTCAGCTCAGGAAGCTGGCCGTGGTGGGCTGACCCCTGGCCCGATGGGCATCAGGGAGAGGCTGGCTCTGGGAGAGCGAGGCCAAGCCAGTGTCCGTGGGGAGAGGCCCGGCTGTGTTGGCCTCTTTTCCTGTAGCCTTAGAGCGTCCTCGTGGAAGGAACGAAAGACACTTCCGGCTGCATGAACAGTGATGCCCTGGGGGACAGTCCTCTGGCCATGCAGTGTGTGTGTGTGTGTGTGTGTGTGGCGGAGGGGGGCGGGCACTGCTCTAGCTGTGAGTTAAAGGGGGCTGTTCCCACCCCTCACTCCCAGCTGCGCTGACAGGGGCTGCTGGAAGCACAAGGCCTTTATGTAACACCCAACCCCTCCTGGTGCAGCCACACTGGTCCTGGCCCGGGGCTAAAGGAGCAGCTGAGTGCTTTCTCGTGGAGTTTGGGCTGGGAGAGTCTGTGTGCAGGGGGAGCGGGGGGCATGTGTATAAAGTGTAAATACGTCTGGTGAGCGTAAGTCCGACGTGAAGGTCGTGGGGAGTGGGAGGAGGCGAGGTGCCCTCTCTGGGAGGGAAAGCTCTGGATTGGCCGTGGGATTTTATTATGTCACCTCTGTGCTTCACAAAAGATGGAAGTGGAGTGGAGTAGTGACATCCAGCTATTCACGGGGAACCTCAGGGGTTGGGGGGAGTCAGGGGAACGCTTTAAGGGGGGACCCCGCTTACCTGTGCCCTCTCCACACTGAGCCCCATCAGCTAAGGTGCAGGAGCGGTGGCCGGTGCAGAGAGGGGGGCATGGGGACTCCTGCCAGTGCCGATCCTGGGCCCCGGCCCTGCAGGAAATCTAGGGGAGACCCCACAGCTCAGCTCTGCAGGTGCCCGCGTGCCAAGGCCTTGGGCTGTTGCTTCCTGGGAGTTGAGCTCTGTGTAGCCTTTCTCAGGAGAAACCGGAAACCCTTTATTTTTGCTTAATCTCCCCCAATTCAAATACCATAACCAGTTTGGTGATTTTTATTAACATCCCGTCTCAGACTAGAGAGGTCAGCCGGCAGCTGTGGGGGCTGCTGTCTCTCACCCGCTGGAGGGCATCTCCGCTGAACTTGGGGTCCTTTGCACTGGAGCTGACGGCTCAGACCAAGTGAGGGAATGGGGTTCCTTGCGTTCATTCCATAGCCGTCCCTGGTGAGCAGTCACAGCCACAGCCGCCAGCAGCCACAGTGGAAGCGCAGGTCCCCGTGTGGCCGGGCGACACAGGAAACCACGTGCCCGTGAACTTCCCGGAGGGAACGGGCATTCCCAGCTGGGTCAGCTCTGCGGCATTTGACCTTTGACCTTTCTGTGGGTGGGAGCGCAGCACCTGGAGAGAGAAGCGGGGGTAGAAGGGAACATGGATGAGATCGAGGGAAAGGAGCCAGGCGCATCGGTGACGCTGCCGCATGAAGCGCCGTGCAGTGAGCGTCGGAGCAACACCACGGGTGGCGGCCAGAGCGCAGGCTCTCCAGGGAGCAAAACCGGCTTCTCAGGCCGGCCCAGGCCTGAGCCGGGCGCCTGTCTCCCGGGCACACCCAGGGGACGGGGCAGGGCTGGGCACTGGGGCGCCTGCTCCGCTCCACGGGGAGGAGGCTGACCCCGTCTGGGCTTTAGTTTCTGCACCTGAGGGCGTGTTGCCTGGGAATGAAACGTGAAGCACTCCGAGCATCGTCACTGCTGCTGCCCCTCAGTCCTCGCCCCGGCCCTGGCATGGCCCAGGACGGCCACTCAGAGCCATCATCGGCACAGGCCAGGCAGCCTACAGGGCACCTCCGGAGGCCTGCGTCCTGTTCCGGGCTCAGCCTCCGGCAGCAGCCTCGCTGCCTCCGCCCGCCTCCTAGATGAGGGTCTCCCATGTGTCCCATTCCCAAGGGAAAGCAGACGCACTGTTCCCCGCCGTGAAGCCGAGGACTGTGAGCCGGGCTTACTCGTGTCCCCTCCCCCAGGCGGCCGTGGTGCCCTCTGCCCAGACCCTGCGGATCACCGACTTCGCCTTCAGCGACTTCGAGCTGTCGGACCTGGAAACTGCGCTGTGCACCATCCGGATGTTCACCGACCTCAACCTGGTGCAGAACTTCCAGATGAAGCATGAGGTGAGGCACACGCGTGTGTGTATGCAAGCATGTGCACATATATGTATGTGTATGAGCATGTGTGCATGTGTGTGCACCATCCAGATGTTCACTGACCTCAACCTGGTGCAGAACTTCCAGATGAAGCATGAGGTGGGGGCGCATATGTATATGTGTGCGTGTGTGAGCCCGTGTGCATGTGTGTGGGTTAGTGTGTGTGCACACGTGTGTATGCATGTGTGGAAGAGAGAATTGGCTTTGGATGCTGGTGTGAAATGCAGATTTTAAGTTTCAGCGACTGATCTGTCACTAATGCCTATCAGAGAATTTTAAAGGAAACGACCAGCCACCGGGAAGGCATTTATCGGGTTCCCACCAGGTATCCAGCCCCCACTGTTAACTGGGGGGGGTTCCCACCCTGGGAGAGGATGTGCAGAGGCGGGTGGGCAGGAGGTGGGGGCTGTGGAGAGCGCTGTGCAGGGGTGAGGCTGCAGGCAAGCACAGGAGGGGAAGGAGGAAGCCCATCGTATAGACCCCTGTAGGCTGCTCAGAGGAATCAGGATTTTGTCCTGAAAACAGTGGTGTCACCAGGAGTTTGAAGGGGGGGTGACATGTCGGATGGCGTAGGTCACTATCTCTCAGGGAAGGGCCAGGACTGAGAGGGCTCCTGGGGAAAAGGGGGTACAGGGCCAATGACAGGCCAGCTCTGGGCGCCCCTGGGCCACTGTCTGGGGAGAAGATGAACACAGGCTTTTACCGCGTTGACAACCTCGTTCGCCTCCTGGGAAACAGCAGGACTGGACGTGTCCCTCCCCACCATCCATGGAGAAGGAGCATCAGGGACACAGAGGAGGGAGGAGGGAGAAGACCTCGGAGAACAAAGTCCAGTCATTTGCCTTCAAGGCATTTGCTCGGTCGGGTGTCTGCTCTCCTTGCACAGGTCTCCTCCCCTGGAACGTAAGGACCCCTGAGGCCTCGCTGTTCAGCTGATGGTTAATCATGAAATGCGGTTGATACCGGGACAGTGCGCCTGGCACTGGGCTGGGGCCCGGTCCGCAGTGGGGTCCGTGCTCAGACGCCTCGCCCCAGATGGACACCCGGCTGATGCGGGGGAGGGCGGGACACACATCCCTCACCGAGTTACGGGGGCTCAACCTCGTTGTCCCCTCAGTCAACCCTCAGATGAAAGGATAATTGGCTGGGTTTCTGCATTTTTCCGGCTTCTGCGGTCAATCCCAGCAATTGCCACAACCCCTCCCTGCAGAGCTTGGAAGCTCATAGCTGTTACAGTACTTAGCCTCCCAACAGGACGAAGCTGCCACCTCCTGGCCGCTCTGTCTGAGGTGCCAGGTAACACCCGATCCTCTGCCATGTGCGGTGGCTGGGAGGGAGGAGAAGGGGCACTTGGTTCCCTGCGGCCTGGGGCGCAAGAAACCGCAGACCCTCCACCCACCTTCTCCCAGTGGTTCCACCGATGAGAAAACTGTGGTTTGGACCTGCATCTGCAGCATTCTTTCTGGAAACCTCCACTTCCCAGGTAGTGCTCTGTGGCAGAAGCGCCTCCAGCCATGTGTGCAGGGAGAAGCATGCATCTTTGTTCCTTGTCCAGGCTCCCAAGAGCACAGGGAACCACTCAGGATTGAACAGCGGCAACTGGATGCTGACGCAGTCACAGCCCCCGCGGGGGACCTGAGCCCCGGGGATCCTTGCATACACACCACTGAGAAGCTGAGTGAAACCCAGCTGTGACATGCTGCTCGCTCCATCTTTAAAATGCTTTTTTTCATATGGACCTTGGCATATGTTATTTTTTTAATTGCTTCTCGGTAACCACGCAGTCCCTCTGTCTGAATGCCCAAGCTGGTGCAAAAGGGACAAAGAGCTCAGGACGCATCGGGCCAGGTGCTGGAGCGGGACATGTGCCCCCTCCCTGTCCCGTCAGCCCGTGCCTCGCACCGAAGCCGTCACAGCAGACGGCAGGCGACTGGGGAGGCCTCAGCGGTGGCTGCTTGCGTGGCTGTCCGACCGGGAACTCACACGTGCGGGACTCTCCTAATTGGTGACGTGGACCTGGTGTCTCACAGAGCTAGTCGGTGCCCGCCAGGCCCCCGGGCCTCCCGCACGGCTGCCTTGCATTTTGCACTAATTTAGTGGGTTGGTTAGCAGGGTGGGCTCTGCCGTCGGATGCTCAGGTATGCACTCTGGCCCCTCCCTTAGGAGCCACATGACCTGGTCACATGGAGCCACACGTGTGTGTCAGTGTCCTGATCTGTTAAGTGATTACATCCTAGTCCCCCCCGCATCCCCGGAGCCGGGGATTGGGTGTGCTGTGCGCATCGCCCGGGTCACAGTGAGCATGTGACCAACTTCCGCAGTCGCTGTGACACGTCCGCTTTCCGCCCGCAGGTCCTCTGCCGGTGGATCCTGAGTGTGAAGAAGAATTACCGGAAGAACGTGGCCTACCACAACTGGAGACACGCCTTCAACACGGCGCAGTGCATGTTCGCCGCCCTGAAGGCAGGCAAGATCCAGGTACAAATTCTACTATGGAGCCATTTGCTTAAGACGTTTGGTGGCTTTCGTGGTAAAATTTACAGCACATGCTTTCAAGTACTTTTTTAAATCTGCATTAGTGGTGATTGAGGGTACTGCTTGTTGCCAGTTACAAAATAAATTGTACTTTAAGGAAAGAAGTCTAGTGTGGCAAAATACGTGGTTGATAACATCCTCTCCTGTGGAATGTATGCGGCATGTTAGCATAACCTCTACGTAGCTTCACGCTAAAGTCAAATGGCGCTTGGGAAGGTCAGTATGTCCTTCAGAGGGAAACTACAGCAGCATCCGTCTGCTCACATTCGTGCTGCTCCACACCACGCAGGTCCTGAGCGTGGCTCCCTAGATGCGACCAGGGCCCTGTCGCGGGTTCTCTTCACCCCGTGAACCTTACTAGTGCGTGGGCCACACCCTGTTCACAGGACATCAACGCGGACAACGTTCCAGCACCTAGGTCCTTGCCAGGCCTTTTTATGCTTAGCTCTGTCCTTAGATTCCACCATCAGCGGGCACCGACCCGTTATTCTAGGTGAGTGAGTCCAGGCCCATCACAGAGCTCTTCAGTCCAGAGCTCCCATGCTTTCCCCATGAGTGTCTTTTGTTGTTGTTGGTAATCCTCACCAAAGGACGTTTTGATTTTTAGAGAGAGTGGAAGGGAGGGGAAGAGAGAGAGAAACAGACACAGTGATAGGTTGCCTCCTGCACTCATCCAGATCGGGACCAGGGATGTAACCTGTAACCCAGGTAGGTGCCCTTGACTGTGAATTGAATCCGCAACCCTTTGGTGTGAAGGCCGGCGCTCTAACCACTTACCTACACCGTCCAGGAGCTTCCACGCTTTGTTATTGAATTCTAGGACTGCTGTTCTTCTCTGCTCCCATAGGGGGCGCATTTGAACACAGAACCAAGGGCAGGGCTTGTCTGGGAGCCTCTTGCCAGAGTCCCCCTCTCCCGCAGGGGCAAACGCCCATGGGAAGCAGGCTCCACTCCTGTTAGGAGGAACTGGGAACGTCAGGAGGGTTAAACCACCCAATGCTATCCGGGCTCTGGCAAAGAAAAACAAAATGCTGATGTGTGTGCTGTGAATATGCCACTTCGAGTGCTGAGAATTCCGGCAGATAGAGCCAATAGGAATTTCAGCTTGTGTTTTCTTATGAAGAAGAACAGTAGTACAGAGAATACAAATGGCAGCCACTTAAAAATAACCTGGGATTCACTTTGCAATACATCATGTAACTTTTTTCAAAATATATATTTTTTTATTGATTCCAGAGAGAGGAAAGGAGAGGGAGTGGGACAAACATCAGTGATGACAGAAAATCATTGATGGGCTGCCTCCTGAATGCCTCCTAACGGATCAAGCCCTCAACCTGGGCATGTGCCCTGCACCAGGAATCGACCCCCAAATCATGGTTCATGGGTCGACGCTCAACCGCTGAGCCACACCAGCCAGAATATTATGTAACTTTTTAAAGCCAACTTTTCATCCCTAATCCCTTTTGTGTATTCTTTTGACAAATATACTCATTGTCTGGTGCCTTTAGGCACAGCCCCTGAGGGTAGAGCATGGAAGCCATGGAATCTGTAGGAGTTAAAGGTTAAGAGAAGCCGGCGATTCAAAGCTCATGTGCTTATCCCACATGCATACATAGACCATTAGGAAGGAGTGGTGTTGACTGTGGGGGACAGGTGGTTGGTGAGGCATTTCCGCCCTCTCCATGGGTCAGTGACATTGGCGATAGCCCTGCTCTGAGGGCGAGGTGCAGCTCTTCCCCTGTGGAGCGGGCGTGCCGCTACCTTGAAGCAGGCCTGTGTGAAGCGCTGAGATTCACAGAGATGGCCTAGCACCCTTACAGGTCCTTCTCTCTCTCCTCCCCACGCCCACCGTGTAGAGCAAGCTGTCGGACCTGGAGGTGCTGGCCCTGCTGGTCGCCGCCCTGAGCCATGACCTGGATCACCGCGGCGTGAACAACTCCTACATTCAGCGGTGAGGTGGTCACCCTGCCAGACAGGGTGACCTTTTCAACTGTGGGGTTGTCCTTATTAAAGCAAAACCCACGGCAAAATTGCATTGGTCAAGGTCCAAAATATCAACTGGTTAAGATCCCGTAACATACTCTGGTTTTATTTAAATACTAGAGGCCTCGTGCATGAAATTTATGCACGGGGTTGGGGGAGGAAAAGGGGAGTCCCTCAGCCCGGCCTGCATCCTCTTGTAATCTGGGACCCCTCGGGGGATATTGGGCCTAAACCGGCAGTTGGACATCCCTCTCACAATCTGGGATGCTGCATGCACCAGTTACCATACTTTTCACACAGGTGAATCTTGCTGTTGTATGGGCAGCTGCATTTTTTTTTGCCCTGATTATAAAAAGTAGTACAGAACATGATCCTTCTGAGGCAGTAGTACCATCTCCCCCATCTCATGGGTGGAAAAACTGAAGCAGAGAGAAGTTAAGTAATTGGCTTTGTCACCCAGTTATAAGTGTCAGAATCAGGGCTGACCACAAAATGTACAAGCCAGAGTCCATGCATGTCATCGCTGTATCATCTTGTTTTTTCAGTGTTAGAGTAGCCTTGCCAGGTTTTAATTTTTAAATCTAGGAGACTGTTGCCAATATATAGGGTAGGGTCCCTATGCCTGGCTGGCGATCAGGGCAATATGTGGAGTGACCAGCGGGTGGGGTAATAGGGGGGCCCCCGCTGGCACACGCCTTGGCTGGTAGCCTGGTGCAACCCACTGGCCGGCCCCTCCCCCCAGTCATCGCCACTAGTCACCTCCCTCTCCAGGGAGCTCAACGCAGACTCTCAACGCAGGAGCTACCCCCAGTCAGCCAGGGTGGGGGCAGTAGCTCTTGCATTGAGCATCTGCCCTCTGGTGGTCAGTGCATGTCATAGCAACCAGTCGTTCCTCCGTTCAGTCGATTTGCATATTAGGGTTTTATTATATAGGATATTTTTATTGATTTCAAAGAGGAAGGGAGAGGGAGAGAGAGATAGGAACATCAATGATGAGAGAGAATCATGGATTGGCTGCCTCCTGCACGCCCCACACTGGGGATCGAGCCCTTAACCTAGGCATGTGTCCTGACCTCCTGGTTTATAGGTCAACACTCAACTACTGAGCCACACCAGCAGGGCTAGTTTTATTTAAGGGAAATGGGGGGAAATGAAAGTCCAGTACTGTGTTGGTAACGTTTCTGGCCTAAAGTGGGAAAATATTTATGTAAGAATCTTATTTCATGAGGTAATTACCAAGAGTTTTGTTTCAGGTTGAATTAGGGCTTCATAGCAAACTTTAAAGACTAGTTCAGAGAAGGTAAGATTCCACCCTAATAGACAAGGTGATGCCGGGAAGGGCCTCGCTCGATCCCGGGCTCCTGAGGGGGCTGTGGCCTTGGGGAAGGTGCAGGGCGCAGCACAGTGCTGAGGACCCCAGGCTTGGCAGCCAGACTTGGATTCAAATCCTTCCTCTCACACAGTCCCCGCATGACCATGGGCAAGGGCACGTGCTGCTCTGCACCCGGTTTCCTGACTTATACATGGAGGTGATCGCATTCCCACCTCATGGGGTTGGCGCCGGTTCAGGAGCTAACACGTCACCACCACGGGGAACGCCTGGCTTATGCACAGTGTGAGCAAGCCCCAGCAGCCATGCTGGTGACCGCGTTCTCATCGCCAGCCTGCTCTTCGGCCGATTCTGAGACTAAGATACTAACTCCACAGACAAGGGCTTCAGGTTCCCTGCGGACCTTGCTTGAGGGGCGTTTGCAATAGAAAATGAGATGTGAAGGCAACCCCACTTCTCGTCAGGTTTTTGAGCCACCACGACATTCTTATTTTCTTGCAGCCACTTAGTCTAAAAGCCTACATTTTAGTGGGAAAACCTCTTAGTACTGAGCATTGTTAAGTATGCGAGTGATCCCGCGGATGGGATCTCTTCAGGAAATTCCAGATGTCTGCTGTCTTGAGGAATTTCGGGAAGCTCTCTAATCACATTCCTTTATCTAAATAAATAGACAACTTCATGTAGAAAGAATCAGAGTGAGGTAGCAGCCACGTCCTCTGCTGACCTCCGACGGGAGGAGAGAGCAAGCTCCGGCCCCAGGGTCCGAGCCTGGCTGTTTCCTCTTTAAAGTCTAACGTGTGTGCTTTGCCGTGTGGCTGCAATGCTGACCTGTCATGACCAAAGGGGACAAGGCCACCAGGAGATGCAGCCCCGAGCGCGGCTGGAAGGTCACAGGGCCGCACATGCTGTTAGTGTTCAGGTCAGACGTCGCACTGTCCTGTGGAGAGGGAAGAACACGGCCATTTTCCCTTTGTTTCCACCCGGAAAAACATCTGGAGAAACGTCATCTTCTCTTTTAAAAAAAAATCCCTGGGAGCAGTCATGGATCACAGCCTCTGCTTTCACACTCACCATGAGGCAGACTCCCCCACGTCACAGTAACGTCAGTGAAAACCTGAAGGAGGGCCAGAGATGTTTACTTCTTCCTCCGTCCCTGTGGTTCGAGCAGAGGGAACCCTGACTTCCTGGGACGTTTCTTTCCTCTGTCCCCAGTGGGAGAGGGGTGACGCCGCTCGTGGGAGGACGAGAAGAGCGTGGACATTCCCACATGAAGGACTAGTTTCTGAAAGGTCTGCTGTCCCCACCTCCTCAGATACTCAGACATGATAGAAAGGAACCCCAAACCACGAAAGGAGGCACGGAAGTGAGAGGAACACATCAGAGAGAGAAACGCTCTCACGGGGCAGCACAGTTAGAAACAGAACCTCTGCCATTTTGTTCTTCATCATCTTTTCTGAAAATCAGTTGGAAGCTGTGTTGCAGAATTTACCAGATGACTGAAAAACACACAACAGGTATTCAGAAGTTCAGGAAAAACCCTTTATTTGCAGATGTACTAGCACGGTGACTCAGGGGAGTCCGTTTCCAAAGCCTGAGTGGTGAATATGGAGGAACTTTCCCTTTATACCCTTAGTTTCTTTGTCTCCCAAATATGGCTTCCAGACTTTTTGCAGGCTTTGCAGCCCCCATGAGTTGGGATGGGGGAAGTGAGATTACACTCAGAGGCTTGGCGCCAGTGCTGCCAACCCCCTCTGGGGGTTGTATATGGTTCATTGTTTATGGCCTCTGTAAAATGGGAGTATTCCAGGAAACATGTTCTTCAATGCAGGACAGGCATCCTATATAATAAAAGGGTAATATGCAAATTGACCCTAACAGTGGAACGACCAGAACAGCCTGTCGCTATGACATGCACTGACCACCAGGGGGCAGATGCTCAATGCAGGAGCTGCCCCCTGGTGGTCAGTCTGCTCCCACAGGGGGAGCTCTGCTTAGCCACAAGCCATCAGTTGGACATCCCCCGGGGGTGCCCGGGCTGCCAGAGGGATGTCTGACTGCAAGCTTAGGCCTGATCCCCTGGGGAGTGGGCCTAAACTGGCAGGTGGACATCCCCCAAGTGGTCCCGGACTGTGAGAGGGCACAGGCTGGGCTGAGGGACCCCTCCCCCACGAGTGCACGAATTTTTGTGCACTGGGCCTCTAGTCTATATATATATAAAAAGCCAGTGTCCGTAACAACTGTGATAACCAAACAACCAGTCACCATGAGGTGCATTGAGCACTTCTCGGTCCCTCCCCCACAGCCACAGGCTCAGATCACAGCAAGGCGGGTGGCGGGCAGGCGGGGCAGCCAGTACAGCAAGCAGTGGTGGGCAGGTAGGCAGGGCTGCGAGCAGCAGTGGGCTACCATGCACGATTTTACATGCTGGACCTCTAGTCATAGGTAAGAATGGAATTAATTATTGGCTAGCAAGAGTGTGCATCAGAATGCAGGTTACTGGCACAGTTTCAGATAGCTACTCCACCCCCAAATGTCTTATTTTCCCTTTCAGCCGAGGCTTGTTTTGATTCATTCTCAGATTCTTTGAGTCCTTCCTGGGTGGTAAAGATGGGCCTAGGAGGACCTGGTTCACAGGGAGACCTTGAGGGAGTAGGGGGAGTTCGCTCCTGTGATGTCTCCCACGTGGTGGGGGAAGGACAGACGGGTTTCCCATAGATGCTAAATTATTTTTAAAAACGAGCAGCGGTGGGTACCAGGAGGCTGGAGACAGCTGGCCGTGACGCGTGGTCACGTAGAGAACCTTAGGCCTGCAGTCAGCATAAGAAGTCAGTCATTGATTTGGTTAGATTCAGCTTTGGTGCTTTATAAAGTAGCTCAGTGAAATTAGCCTACATTTTAGGCAGGTGGATGAGAACCAATGATGGAGACCTGGCGTTAGCTGCAGGGAGAGAGATATGAAATGTGGTGCCTGTGTCTGGATTTCCGTCTCAGACACAGTGGCGATCAATGCGAGGAGATAGCTGGTAAGTTCCAAGCTGCTTGATGACCTGGCTGCACCACTCAGCACAGGAGTGGTCAGCACCCAGGCTCCTCCCCACCATGAATGGAGGAAGTGAGATTTCCACCGGATCTTGAGAAGGGGGAGGATTTGAGAGGAGAATAGATGAAATGTTCCAGAAACCCAGGAGGTGGGCGTTGCCCTGGGACATGCTGACCAGGGATGAACTGAGAGATGAACAGCGAGGAGGTACATTCGTGGGAGGGAGAGCTTTAAACATCTGCAGTGCGTTCAGGGGGGACAGGAGGAAGCAAGGGCATTGTTTAGGAGGAAGAGTCTGAAGGTACCAGGAAAATGGTAGGAAGTAGAGCCTCAGGGTTCAGCTAGCCAGCTAGGAGCATGCTGAAAATCATATCCTGGCTACACAGGGGAGAGACTGGAGGAGAAACATTTTAATTCCCTGTTGAACAGCTAGTTCTGTGCATGAAAGAAAGGGAAATCATGATTTCTGGTCCAGGAAATTGGAACAAGGATGGTGCCATTGAAGAAAGTGAAAACTGGGAAGTGGGCAGGTGTGTGTGCATGTGCAGTTGTGTATGCGGATGTGTGGGCAGGTGTGTGTGTGGGTGTATGTGCAGGTGTGTGTAGGTGTGTGCAGGTGTGCATCGGTGTGTGTGCAGGTGTGTGTAGGTATGAGGGCAGGTGTGTGTAGGTGTGTGTGCAGACATGCAGGTATGTGTAGGTGTGTATGCAGGTTTGTGTGCTCTGGAGGCAGCCATGAAAAAGAGAAGGTACAGGAGCATGGCAAAGAAAAGAAAATTATAATAGGGTGGTTTAAGAAGAGGTAAATTGCCGAGACCGGTTTGGCTCAGTGGATAGAGCATCGGCCTGCGGACTGAAAGGTCCCAGGTTCGATTCCGGTCAGGGGCATGTACCTGGGTTGCGGGCACATCCCCAGTGGGGAGTGTGCAGGAGGCAGCTGATCGATGTTTCTCTCTCATCAATGTTTCTAACTCTCTGTCTCTCTCCCTTTCTCTCTGTAAAAAATCAATAAAAATATATATTAAAATAAAAAAGAAGAGGTAAATTGATAAAATTATTTTTTTTCAAGATTAACAATTCAGTTAAATCAGGAAAACATGTCAAACTGTATTTTCCCACAGACCTTGCCTGCTCTGTATGTGACACAGTGACAGGAATGAGCGGGAGTCAGGGGCTGGTGTGCAGGTCACAGGGTCAGCAGGCTCTGAGATTCAAAGGGGAGCCGAGACAGCACAGGAGTCACCACTGGTGAAGTTTAGAGTGGGCAGGGCTTCCCAGAGGAGGATGAGATCATCCCTGGAGGCTCGAGAGGCAACAGAGCTGAACATGGGTAACGTGCAAGTTCAAACAGTGTTCACAGCAGTAGTTCAGTCAGTCCTCCCCATCAGTAGTTCAGTAGGTCCTCCAGCCAGTAGTTCAGTCAGTCCTCCATCAGTAGGTCAGTCCTCCTCCATCAGTAGTTCAGTCGGTCCTCCATCAGTAGTTCAGTCAGTCCTCCATCAGTAATTCATTCAGTCCTCCATCAGTAGTTCAGTCAGTCCTCCATCAGTAGTTCAGTCAGTCCTCCTCCATCAGTAATTCAGTCGGTCCTCCATCAGTAGTTCAGTCAGTCCTCCATCAGTAGTTCAGTCGGTCCTCCCATCAGTAGTTCAGTCAGTCCTCCTGTCAGTAGTTCAGTCAGTCCTCCTCCATCAGTAGTTCAGTTGGTCCTCCATCAGTAGTTCAGTCAGTCCTCCATCAGTAGTTCAGTCGGTCCTCCCATCCGTAGTTCAGTCAGTCCTCCTGTCAGTAGATCAGTTGGTCCTCCTGTTAGTAGTTCAGTTGGTCCTCCTGCCAGTAGTTCAGTTGGTCCTCCTGCCAGTGGCCAATCACAGAATAAGAGTATAGGCCAACATCATTGTATCTCTCATTATGAGCTCTTGGGACTCTTCTGACCTCTTTATAGATAAGAATTGGGTTGGTCCTCACACAAATCAATAAATGACAAGCGCTGGCGAGGATGTAGAGAAAAAGGAACCCTTGTACACTGCTGGTGGGAATGCAGACTGGTGTAGTCACTGGAGAACAGTATGGAGTTTCCTCAAAAAGTTAAAATGGAACTCCCATTTGACCCAGTGATTCCACTTTTAGGAATATATCCCAAGAACCTAGAAACACCAATCAGAAAGGATATATGCACCCCTGTGTTCATAGCAGCACAATTTACCATAGCTAAGATTTGGAAACAGCCTAAGTGCCCATCAGCAGATGAGTGGATTAGAAAACTGTCATACATCTACACAATGGAATGTTATGCTGCTGTAAAAAAGAAGGAATTCTTACCATTTGCAACAGCATGGATGGAACTAGAGAGCATTGTGCTAAGTGAAATAAGCTAGTCAGAGAAAAATAAATATCACATGATCTCACTCATTTGTGGAATATAATGAACAACATAAACTGATGAACAAAAATAGAGCCAGAAGCATGGAATAGACCTGATGAACTGAGTGCAGGACCCCTCCTTGCCTCCCTCCCTCAGCCAGGCACCTCACCAGTCCTCCTGAGTTCAGTCTAGCGAGCTCCCCGACCTACTAGGTCCCTGTGGGGAACAGACTCCCCCTGTGCCTTCCATCTGGCACCTTCACCGGCTCCTCTCAGACAGTTCTCCCTTTTCTTGAGGCATGAGGGGGCCTGGCCGTGAGCCTTCTTTCTCAGGAAAAGCCGCATGGACATTTGTTTCATATTCTAAATGAATTAGAGTCTTGACATTGAAAGCGATGATTGGTACGAGTACTTCAGGGATCCTCTCTCTGTATCTAGAGAAATTAGTACCTTGTCCTTGATACTGACGTTGATGGGATTGTTCACGGTTTGAACCAGTCTTTGAGAACAGCCTGGCTCTTTATACTTATTTCCCAGAGATGACCTCCCTCAGCTAAAGGAGAGAGCATGGTTGGTTTGATGGATTTTAGCCTCTTTCTTAAGGAGCCAATAAGAAAAGAGTGACAGCCGGCCCATGCAGCGCCTGACTATCCTCTCTAAGCCCTGTCTCTGTGATTCCCCCACAGGAGCGAACACCCGCTGGCCCAACTGTACTGCCACTCGACCCTGGAGCACCACCACTTCGACCAGTGCCTGATGGTCCTCAATAGCCCGGTGAGGCCCGGCGGCCCGGAGGCTGCACAAACGCGGGGATATTTTAAGTGTTTGGGTTCATGCCCAGGATCCTAATTCCTGGGTGTGCGTCATTCTTTTTTGGGTAAGGAAGGCCGAGGTCCCCACAGCCTCGTCCCTGTGCACCCTAAGCTGCCAGCTGCCTGATAAGGGGGTTTGCTTACTCTCCTCACTTCGTTACTCCACATTGTTCCAAACTAGAAGCAAGCAAAGCTGGTGTTTTTTGGCTCTCCGTTAATTCCGCCTTATTTTTGGTGGTGATGGTGGTCGGGGGGGGGGGGGGGGGAGGGGGCGTAAAATTAAGTGGGTGATACCAGTGCTCAAGAACCTTTTCCTCTTTTTATTGAAACTTCTGACCACGAACAAATTGTTAAGGGATGAAGCTGTTCAACGCCTGGTGGAGACGGATGTTTATCCGTGTGAGAAAGCACATGACATGCTATGCTAGACATATTTCTGTGGAGGGAAGTAAGCTTGAGAACATGTATACCAACCCGTTAGCCATGGTTGTTTCTGCCAACTTAATACTTGTTATATTCTGGTTCCTCTGTTACTCGCATGGTCTGTTGTGTGCATGCCTGGCATTATAGTAAGAAGCATGAGTTATAGCTGCTGCTGGGACATCCTCCTACAGCAGGCCCCCCCACCTCGAAGCAGACCCCTCCCTACACTCTGTCCCTGGAGGCCCCCACACGCAGCGGTTTACAGCCTTTGCCTGGGAATGGGGAAATAAGCACATAACACCGAAGACATTTCCTTTTAGACATCTCCTTTCCCCTGGAAATGGTTTGACCTTACACCCAATGAAAATATCGGAAGATATTTTCTGAATAGTTTTCTGTTCAGCCCAGAATCTAAAATGACTTGATATTTAAAAGTAATGTTCGTCAGTTCGTCAGTGAGACACATGCCCGATTTCAGCCTCCAGCTCTCCACTAAGCGAAGATCTTATCTGGGCCTGGCACCCCCGCGTGCCCCGTGTTCAGAAGCACCCGCTGCCCTGGACCCCAGTCCTGAGCCGCTGGTTCCCTCAGCCCTGGGACTTAGAAAGCACACCTGCCTCCCATGCAGATGTTGAGTTTATTCTGAGAACCGAGGCACGTTTTACTCAATTCGAGATGAGAGATTTGCTTTAAATTCCAGGCAGGCACAACACAATAATTATGTAGTTACAGCGTTTGAGTGTTTGCCCGCGGATCAGCCCCTTTTAAAGAGTCCTTCTTGGTTTCATACCGTGTGTGCTTCCCACCAGGAAGCCCACCTGTAGGCATGTTCCCAAGGACTACGTGCTGCTCTTGATATTAAGTTAAAATTACATAAACGTGTGCCACTGTGTCACTGGATTTATTACAAAAACCATAGAGAAAAAAACGTGTTAGTCATCAATTGTTTAGCAGTTTCACCATTCCGTTCTTCATTAATGTGGCTTTGAGGTTTCAAGCTTCACTTCCAGTTGCAATATAGCAAGTAAGCTGCCCATGGCTAGATAGTTAGCCTTTAGGCCGGCGGAGGCCCGGGGGGTAGGCAGTTGGCAGACAGGCACAGGAGGTGGGTGCACCAGCGGGAAGCCGGCATTTCCTAGGAGACCAGGCCGTGGAATTAGGCATTCACTCTCTGGAAGCAGGTGGCCCATGCACATGACTCCGAACCCCAGGCCCGTGGTTTAGCTGTGACCGCGTTTTCCGCTGTCCTTGTGGAGGGGTGCTGTGGGGTACTCCTGGAGGTGCTCCTGTGTGGTGCTCCCGGGGGGTGCTCCTATGCAGTGCTCCCATGCGGTGCTCCTATGTGGTGCTCCCGTGGGGTGCTGACGATGGTTTTCTTCTCTGTGAAGGGGAACCAGATCCTCAGTGGCCTCTCCATCGAAGAGTATAAGACCGCGTTGAAGATCATCAAGCAGGCGATTCTGGCCACAGACCTGGCCCTGTACATTAAGTAAGTCTCCCCAGTGCCCTGCGATGAGTGGGTGTGGGAAGAGTGTGCCGTGTTTCACATGGGGACACGTCTAGGTTATAGGACTGTGTGCAGTTCTTAGAGGTGGAAATGTGGAACTTGGACATTACTGACGCAGGACGTAGCGTGCATTCATGGGTGAGTGTGTGTGTACTGCGTGGACAGGCTGTGGTTTGCACATGGGACCGTAGTCTGGGTGGCGTGTGCAGTGAGGGGAGAAGATGGTCACACTCACGTGATTTCCCTGGACACGTGGCCCTCTCTCCCCTCGCACGGGGAGTCACGCCTGTGTGTAGGCCATTGATGAGGAGTAAGCACACACAGAGCAAACAGGAGCACGGACACCTAAAGGGAGCTGCCGCTGGCATCCCTGCTTCCTGAATTGGGGAGCACTTTAAACTCAACCAGGACAGTAGAGAACTGAGTCCATTTCAGCTGGTTTAACATGATGGCGGAGTAAAGATGATCATATAACCAAGAATTAGAAAAACACCTGTAACCACATGCCTCCTACCTTCCCAGGCCACGGGTCTCTCTGGAACCGGTGTTTCATTGTTGGTTCTTGGTCACAGGCCGTCCATTCTGTTCCATAAGATCCCTGTTTTCCTGATGTCTCCGGCATCATGGCTTCTGGAGATGTGGACAGCACTGGGCACTGAGGAACTCCCTGGCCTCCAATAGAGGCTTCTTCCTGGTGTCTCCATGTTTCTTTGCCTCAGAAGCAGTTCACAACTTTACACTGACATAGAGCACTTGTTATGCCTTTTTATTTACCCTATCTCATAATACAGGTGCATTATATGAAATTACACTGAAATCATATAGTTCTTCTTTGCCATGCACTTAAAATTCCTTAAATCATTCTCAGCATCCCATTTTAACTCACATTGTCTCACTTTTTTAATATACTTTTTAAAAAAATTTCAGAGAGGAAGGGAGAGGGAGAGAGCAATAGAAACATCAATGATGAGAGAGAATCATTGATCGGCTGCCTCCTGCATGCCCCCGACTGGGGATGGAGCCTGCAACCCAGGCATGTGCCCTGACCGGGAATCAAACCATGTCCTCCTGGTTCATAGGTCAACGCTCGACCACTGAGCCACGCCGGCCAGCCCATCTCACTTTCATGAAGTTGTGTTTAGGAATGAGATTACCACTGTCTGTGGTCTGTACAGGTGAGGTCAATGCTTCATCCAAAGGAAATGGTAGAAGGAGGAAAAGGGAGGCATTCACAATTTTTAAATGATGGTTTTTATGTTGGGTTCTAAGATGGGTAAAATCCACTGGAGATTTTCTCCCCCCAAAAATTGAGTCCATGATTCTTTCTAGACCAAAGGGATAAGATGAGACCTAGGGACTCCTCATAACAATCAATGTTTTTCTTTCTTTCCAAGGAGGCGAGGGGAGTTTTTTGAACTTATAAGGAAAAACCAGTTCAACTTAGGAGACCCGCACCAGAAGGAGCTGTTTCTGTAAGTGGCCTCTGTCCGCCTCCACGCGGAGGACTAGTTTCCAGTAAATGTCATTAGTGGCAGGTTGTGTTGCGAGCACTTGTCACAACCCGGTGACCTAGAGGCTGTGGGAATTCCCGCGTTGAACCAAGGGTAGGACGTGAATGTTAAACAAAAGGAAATGCGTTGCAAAGTCACCTGAAGGAGCCATGCCTTTGTTCTGGGGGGACGTTAGGATGTGGTGGAGCATCAGCACTTGGCGCTGAGGCTCCCGTGTTCGCATCCCAGACTTGGGGATGAGAGAGCTGCACATAGCACCCTAGAGATGTGGGAGCTAGGAGCTGGTGGCGAGGTGTCCACTGTTCTTGGAAGATGATGGCAGAGCCGCAGGGTGGGGCTGGGCCGACCCGGATGTGTTCCCCTCAGCTGACCCCGCTGGTCCCTCCAGCTCAGGGTCCCATCCCTGGCTGCCTTTGCAGGGCAAGGGCTGTCCTCGTGAGAAAGAACAGAGTCAATAATAAGACAGAGCAGCACTAAGGACGGTGCGTTTCTTGAAATAGATTGTCAGCACTTGGCGTGAAGATGGAATTATGAAGCACCAGCCCACAGGGCCTGCTGTCTGTCCTGCAGTCTTGACAGTCTTGGGGTTCAGGGCAGCACCTCAGGAATCACCAGCTCTTCTTGATAACAAAACACAAATCCATGCGCAGCCAAGCCTGTGCCTCAGTGTTCACGGCTCAGCTCTTCTCCCTGTGGCCTCAAGGTCTCGCGGGCCACTCACTGTCACTCCCCCCACTTCACTTCATAGACCAGGGTTCAGCGTGTAGGTGCAGAGTGCTGTTGGGGATCAGCTTGTGTGGCAGGCCCCGCGGAAGTCGCTGTGGTGGTGTAAGCCGCCAGGGAACACCTTCCCAGTGCGCTCAGTCCTCAGGAGTGTTTCCATGAGTGCTGACACCGCGGGATTAGGGGAAGGCCCTCTTAGCCAGGGCCCCCGAGCAGCATGTAGTCCAGCCCTGTGCCCTGAGTGCTTTGTGCCACAGCGATGCCATCCTGCCTGTCTCTTCAGATACAAAGGACATAGTGGCAGACATCTGGATTGGACACTATGCTGAGACAGCACCATTTTCATGGGGCAAGTCCAGTCCTGAGTCCCAGAGTGCCTGCACCCTGACCCAAGGGCCAGCACGGTCCTTCTCTAACAAGACCAAGAGCATTGTTCTATCATTTCTCCGGAAGACACCAGCCAATAGTCCAAAGTCACTGTGTGTGTGAATTAGGATGACCCACCAGTCTTGCTCTCACATGCTTTTACAGTACGTTGTATCACAATAGGCTGTGGTACAGTAGGATGTGTTACAGTAGGCTCTATTACACTATGCTCTGTGATGAGTAGGCTGTGTTAGAGTAGGATGTATGACAGTAGGCTATGTCACAGTAGGCTGTTACACTAGGCTGTGTTACAGTAGTCTGTGTCACAGTAGGCTGTGTAACCTGTAGTCTGTGTTACAATAGGCTGTGTTACAGTAAGCTATGTCACAGTACACTGTGTGAACAGTAGGCTATGTGACCAGTACGCTGTGTTACAGTAGTCTGTGTCATAGTAGGCTGTGTTACAGAAGTCTATGTCACAGTAGGATGTGTGTCAGTAGGTTGTGTCACAGTAGGCTGTGTGACCAGTAGGCTGAGTGACAGTAGGCTGTGTGACAGTAGCTGTGTTACACTAGGCTGTGTCACAGTACGCTGTGTTTCAGTAGGCTGTATGACCAATAGGCTGTGTCACAATAGGATATGTCACAGTAGGCTGTGTGACCAGTAGGCTGTTACAGTAGGCTATGTGACCAGCAGGCTGTGTCACAGTAGGCTGTGTGACCAGTAGGATGTGTCATAATAGGCTGTGTCACAGTAGGCTGTGTCACAGTAGGCTGTGTCACAGTAGGCTGTGTGACCTGTAGACTGAGATACAGTAGTCTTTGTCACAGTAGGATGTGTCACAGTAGGCTGTGACAGTAGGTTGTGTCACAGTAGGCTGCGTGACCAGTAGGCTGTGTTACAGTAAGCTGTGTAACATAGGCTGTGTCAGAGTAGGCTGTGTGAAATTAGGTTGTTTCACAGTAGGCTGTGTGACAGTAGGTGATGTAACATATGCTCTGTTACAGTAGGCTCTGTTATACTAGGCTTTGTCACAGTAGGCTGTGTCATAGTAGGAGCTGTTACACTAGGCTATGTGACAAGTAGGCTGTGTGACAGTAGGCTGTGTGACAGTAGGCTGTGTGACCAGTAGGCTGTAACACAATACGCTGTGTGACTAGTAGGCTGTGTAACAGTAGGCTGTGTTACATTAGGATGTGTCACAGTAGGCAGTGTTACAGTAGGCTCTCTTACACTAAGCCTTTTCACAGTAGGAGGAATTACAGTAGGCTATGTGACCACTAGGCTGTGTTACAGTGGGCTGAGTCACAGTAGGCTATGTCACAGTAGGCTGTGTGACCAATAGGCTGTGTCACAGAAGGCTGTGTTACCTGTAGACTGTGATACACTAATGTGTGTAACAGTAGGATGTGTCACAGTAGGCTGTGTTACAGTAAGCTGTGTCACAGGCTGTGTCAGATTAGGCTGTGTGAAAGTAGGCTGTGTCACAGTATGATATGTCACAGTAGGCTGTGTCACAGTAGGCTGTATGACTAGTAGGCTCTGTCAGAGTAGGCTGTTACACTAGGCTGTCAAGGTAGGCTGTGTCACAGTATGATATGTCACAGTAGGCTGTGTCACAGTAGAATGTGGCACAGAAGAATTGTGACCAGTAGGCTGTGTCACAATAGGATATGTGACAGTAGGCTGTGTCATAGTAGGCTGTGTGACCAGTAGTCTGTGTCACTCTAGGCCAGCCGTGGGCACAGTAGGATGTGTCACAGTAGGCTGTGACAGTAGGTTGTGTCACAGTAGGCTGCGTGACCAGTAGGGTGTTTCATAGTAGGATGTACACAGTAAAATTGTGACCAGCAGACTGTGTCACAATACTATATATATCGGTAGGCTCTGTGACTAATTGGTTGTGTCACAGTATATATGTCACAGTAGGCTGTGTGAACTGTAGGCTGTGTCACAGTAGGATGTGTGAACAGTAGGTTGTGTTAATGTAGGATATATTACGGTAGGCTTTGTCACAGTAGGCTGTGTGACCAATAGGCTGTGTTACAGTAGGATATATCACACTAGGATGTGTGCCCAGGAGACTGTGTCACAGTAGGATATGTCACAGTAGCCAGTATGACCAGTACACTGTGTCTCAGTAGGATGTGTGAAAGGTAGGCTCTGATACAGTAGGATATATCACAGTAGGCTTTGTCACAATAGGCTGTGTGAACAGTACGCTGTGTCACAGGATGTCACAGTAGGATGTGTCTCAGTAGGATAAGTCACAGTAGGCTGTGTGAACAGTATGCTGTGTCACAGTAGAATAAGTCACAGTAGGCTGTGTAACACTATGCTGTGTCACAGTAGGATACGTCACAGTAGGCTGTGTGAAGAGTAGGCTGTGTCATAGTGGTCTGTGTGACCAGTAGGCTGTGTCACAGTAGGATATGTCACAGTAGGCTCTGTCAACATTACACTGTGTCACAGGATGTCACAGTAGGATGTGTCACAGTATAGTTGTGAACAGTAGGCTGTGTCACAGTAGAATAAGTCATAGTAGGCTGTGTGATCAGTAGGCTGTGTCACAGTAGGATATGTCACAGTAGGCTTTGTCACAGTAGGCTGTGTGACCAATACACTGTGTCACAGGATGTCACAGTAAGATGTGTCACAGTAGAGATGTGAACAGTAGGCTGTGTCACAGTAGGATAAGTCTCAGTAGGCTGTGTGATCAGTAGGCTTTGTCACAGTAGGATATGTCACAACGGCAGTGTGAAATGTAGGCTGTGTAACAATAGGATGTGTGAATGGTAGCCTGTGTCACAGTAGGATATATCACAGTAGGCTTTGTCACAGTAGGATATAACTTGTACACTTTGTCACAGTAGGATGTGTCACAGTAGGATGTGTCACAGTAGCATTGTGAACAGTAGGCTCTGTCAAAACAGGATATGTCACAGTAGGCTGTGTGACCATTAGAGTGTGTCATAGTAGGATGTACACAGAATTGTGACCAGCAGGCTGTGTCAAATTACTATATGTAAAGGTAGGCTGTTTGACCAATTGGCTGTGTCACAGTATATATGGCACAGTAGGCTGTGTGAACAGTAGGCTGTATCACAGTAGGATGTATGACCAGTAGGCTGTGTTAATGTAGGATACATCACAGTAGGCTTTGTCAACGTAGGCTTTTTGACCAGTACGCTGAGTCACAGGAAGTCACAGTAGTGTATGACACCGTAGAATTTTGTACATTAGGTAGTGTCACAATAGGATATCTGACAGTAGGCTGTGTGACCAGTAGGCTGTGTCACAGTAGTATATGTCACAGTAGCCAGTATGACCAGCAGGCTGTGTCACAGTAGGATGTGTGAAAGGTAGGCTGTGTTACAGTAGTATATCACAGTAGGCTCTGTCACAGTAAGCTGTGTGAATAGTACGCTGTCAGAAGATCTCAGAGTAGGATGTGTCACAGAACCATTATGAACTGTACACTATATCACAATAGGATTAGTCACAGTAGGTTGTTTGTTCTGTAGGCTGTGTCAGAGTAGCATGTGTC